AATATAAATCTTAATTTCAAACCAAATAAAACATTAGAAAGAATGCTTATAAACAATAAGGACAAAATAAATAAACTGGACGACAATGGTGTGTACATACTAGAGTGCGACACTTGTAAAGCAGCGTACATTGGAGAAACAGGCAGAAGCCTTAGAAAAAGAATAAGAGAACATAAACACAAAAATAACTCCAACTTCGGAAATCACTTAACATTTAACTCAAAACATGAATTTAACGAAGATAAAAATTCCAGAATCCTTCATCATATCAATAAAAGTTACTATTTAGAAATAATGGAAAACTATGAAATTAATAAATTCCTCAACAACTGCCCTGATGTAACATGCCTAAACGAACAAATTATACCTACAAGAAGACCACTATATACCTATCTCAAACAACCATACACACCTCCACGAAAACCTCCCGAACTCTAAAAATAGCTGCTCTCTCTGTACCATTATATTTTTCAGTGTGTTTGATGTAGGGAGTTAATATGTTTATGTTGTAATACCTCATTTTAACCTGTTGAAAATCAACCTATTCAAAACAAGAAAGTTTAAATTCAATACACGACAATCACATTTGACAGATTACCAACATTAAAATAGAAAATATACCATTGACAGTTTCAACATAACCTAAAATATAATAAAAAGTGATGTATGATAGCACATGTTTAGAGATTAACATTTTAATAGTGAATTAATTCAATAAAGTATCACATACATGTTTAGTTGTTCAAAAAATTGACGTAAGTTAAAATGTAAAATTATATAATAATAGAAAGTGTTGTAAAATTAATAACTTTAGGAATTCCTGAAGATGCTCCGAAAGGAGCGAAACCGGTAGAGTGATAATAAACACATTTCACCTTTAAGTGCAAAATTTGTTTAATTCAAATGAAAGTTGTTCTTTCTGAATGATTTTCATATCACCTTGTAAAAATATCGTGATTTTATTTCGACTTTCGTAGAGAATAACTTTCAACTTGTACATTCAACTGGAAATTTCATTAAAATTATTTCACATAGCTCGTTAAAATCGTAACTTTTCATAAAAGCTTCCACCTAACTAACCAAGCAGCGAAATAAAAGATAAAGTTACACGTACAATTATATTACAAAGAGAGAAAAATAATTAAAATTTTATAAGGATTACTTTGTTATTATTCAAAATTATTTATTTAATCAATAAATATAATAAATATTGGTTTAATCACAATTTTTAACTAAATAGGGTTGATTTTTCATCGTCCGGTTTGTAACGATCGCGCAATATTGCACAGACTTAATGAATTTTAAATTGACCCCGTTTAGATTCCGATGGCTCGCCGAATTGCAGTGGCATGCCGCACATATAACCGCACCTTCGCTGAATTTATCTCCGAATTGGTAAGAGGGGAATTTTTCCATTATTGATTCCCAAATACCTGATGGTAGTCCATTTGAAGAAAATCCACCCACATCCATAAAAGCGACTATTGATTATTGCTCAGGAAGCTCTATTCAAACCAACACTAATCCAGTTGAATCGCATACACCTTTCCATAACTTACATAGGAGGCTACTTATTGTCAGGAGACGTTTGGAATTCGGAAGCGATCGTAAATTTTAGAGTTTAGGAAAACCCAGAGATGGAAATTTTTATGGATCTACGTCTTATCTAAAACTGTTCATCTAAAACATTTATTATTGATTTAGTATGCTGTATAATATTATGTTTTATATAGTTTTGAATTTTATTCTCTATATACTCGATGTAATAATAACAGATCATTTATCAAAGTAGTCCAGGTGGTGTAACAGACATATTGTTCGTTTCATCTTTGTCCAGAACATGATTCCCATGATTTATTATTTAATCTTCTGGTTAGTTCAAAACTAAGTACTTCATTTCAAGTTTAAATTGATAAAATCTGGGAACAATAAGTCAACAATACGATTGACCAAAACTATTTGTATGATCCATTTCATAATAATTTTTAATTTGGAATAATCTATCCCATTTTATTTAATTTAAGGTTAAAATAAAGACATTACTTTTACATTAACTTTGATAACTGAATCTGAAGTACGAATTTTGAATAAAGTTCTATTCTAGAATGGTGATTTGTCTTACCTTACAGTTATAAATTTATACCGCCCAACTTAGTGCTCATTGCAGCCATATTTCAAAAGATATACAGAAAATATGTTGCGAAAGTTACGTTTTGTCACTTCCATAAATTTTCACCTTTAAGGTTACGACTTCATCTTACGACTTTCATATCAAAATTAAAAAAAATATAAATTATGAAACGTATTATTACAAATTATTTACATCCCATATAAAATAAATATACAGGGTGATTCACATAAGAACCGACACAGAGCAGGGACATGTAGAGGACAATAAATTAAGATGATTTAACGCAATTTATCTCTATACTAAGTTGTACCCCTGAGGAGTTATAGGCCTTCAAAGTTGGGTCTTAAATTTTTAAATTATTGAATATCTTCGTAATACATTAAGCTAGAAAAACCAAATTTGGTACTTATACCTAAAGGTTCAGATACGTGGAGTCGGAGATCGTACGAGAAGACTCCGGCTCCAGCTCCTTCCCGTCTCTTTGAACCATCAGTGTAGATTTTAAGGCTGTTTTTTACCTCTACTTCTGTGGAGCTTGGGTGGGTGAGATATTTCTTCGTAAAAATGTGTTGTAGGGGTGTAAAGTCCGTTACACACTCCAGAATTGGTGAGTAATCCACCATTTCATTCCAGAGATTGGCATTTTTACTATTTCTCTCACCCATTAGAATTCCTGCTGCTCGCAGTCGAGTCATGGTCACCAATGCCACCTCTTGGATGAACAAATGAAGTGGCGTTAGGTTTAACATGTTTTCCATGGCTGCAGTGGGGGTAGTCCGCAGCGCACCTGTAACATACAAACACGCAAGTCTCTGTACTTTATTAAGTGCAGTAGTGGATGTAGACTGTAGGGTCTTTGACCACCATACTACTGCACCATAAGTAAGCATAGGTCGGATTACAGCCGTGTAAATCCAGAGGGCATTTCTGGGTGACAAACCCCATGTCTTACCTATAGCCCTCCGGCATTGACCGAATGCAACGTACGCTTTTTTTACTCTATTATCTAGGTGGGCTCTCCATGTCATTTTATTGTCAAGTGTGATGCCCAGATATTTGACCTCTTTTGACAATACCAATGGAGTATCAGCAAGGGATGGCATTCTGGGATT